GGAAAGGTGGAAATGGGGAGGTGGAATCCTTTCCAAGTTCTAGGAGAGTACAAGAGAGAAAAACAAAACTACTTGCCCCACATTCAACTGCATTTAGAAAAATCGACCTGGCTGGGTCACCCTGACAAAGGACCACAGAGGCTGGGCCGTGTGGGGAGTAGGGAGAGGGAATGCTGCCTTAACATCAAGTTTCTTTCTATTATCCATTACTCTGAAGGTGGAAGGGGAAAGTGGGGGAGACTATTCCTAGGTCTTTTTCCTTCCTTTTCAGGCAGTCTCAGTTAAAGGTAGATAAAGCTTTCAATCTCCTAGGCCAAGGGTGCAGCCCTTGGACTGAATCCAAATTTCACAGAACAAATCCTCTTGTTCTGTAAAACTTGGACTCAGTCAAAAGGCCACACCCAAGAACCTAGAAGGCCACATGTGGCCTTGAGGCCACAGGTTCCCCACCCCTGTCCTAGACTAATTCATATTTTCTCAATTCACCATAGATTCAACTCTTCTCCGACTCTTTAACAATCTACTCTCCACCACTATTGCCCAAGTGTATCAACTGTCTGGCTTTCTGAGGTCCTCTCCCTCCCTGTCTCCTGCCTTCACTTCCTTGCCTTGCTCTGCCTTTGCTTAGCTTCCCACACATCCAAATGGACCGGTGAGGAAGAGAGGAAAAGGAAGAAAGCAGGGAGAGGGAAACAAGGAAAGAATGAGGTGGAGAGAGCTGGGAGAAAACTTGGAGAAGGAAGGCAAGAGGGATGGTGCCAAGGAAAGGAGTGGAAAGAGAAGGCATGAAATCTGTATGTTAACATGTACATACACAAATAATAAATAATAAAGTGTTCAGAAAAGTGAAAAGAAATTCCTATAATTATGAGGTTTTTTATTAGAATCTTAACATGTTGGAACTAGAAGAAAATTTAGAGATTATCTAGTCCAGCAATGATTTCTGCCAAAACACAAAGTCACCATCAGAGCTGGAACTAGAAATCAAGTCTCCTGACTCCTAATCCACTGTTTTTGTCCTTACACCACTCTGCCTAATATTATTTTAATATTATCTCATTATTATTAAATAATATTGTCAAGACTATGCTAAAAGCATGGCCAGCGTAAGCAAGTAAATCCCCAACCTGACAATGTGCCTGACCTTCTCTGTGCCACAGTTTCCACATCTAGAAAATGGGGATAATAATGCTTGTACTCCACCACCCCAGAACCCAATGCCTCATTTGTGTCATGGGGATGACACTGGATTCCTGAAGCATATGCCAATGGGGTACAGGCTCTGGAAGGTCCCATGAAGATGGAAAGACTTAAAAGTCAGGTGACAGGCTTTACTCAGCTCTTTTTCCTAACTTCTCTATTGCTGTTGAGGTCACCACCATCATTTCATTCATTCAGGTTCACAACCTTTGCAGCGTCCATCAACCTTCCCTCTCTCATGTACCCTTCTCTCACCAGTCCTATCATTTGCCAGCTCTTGTCTATTATCTTTCCCTATCTTTCCCTTCTATGCCCTCTGTGCCTACTCACACAGTCACCACTCTCATTCAGGCCCTCATTTCTCCTCTTCTGGATGTTCAAAATAGCTTCCTAATTGGTCTTGCTGCTTCCAAACTTTCCCCTTTCTAGTCCACCCTTCTTACCATTGCCACATTGATATTCATAAAATACGCTTTTGACAATGTCACTCCTCTGCTCACGAAGCTTCAGCATCTCTAGGATAAAATATGAACCCCTCTGTCTGGTATTTAAAACCCTTGAAGATTTGTTTCCAATCTATCTTTGCACACTTGCCTCAGGTTCCTCTCCTTCGTGCATACCCCAATCCACCAAACTGCCCTGCTTGCCATTCCCAGGTAGCAACAAGCCATCTTCTCTTTGTGACTTTACATAGGCTATGCCTCATGCCTAGAGCAGTACCCTTACTTCTCACCTCTGCCTCCTTAAGGCTCAATTCAAATGCCACTTTCTGCTCCAAGCCTTTTCAGATAACACTACTTTTTGCTTATTTCTCTGAAATTACTTTGCATTGTTGTTGTTCAGTCATTTCCAGCCTCCTCTGACTCTTTATGTTCCATTTGGGGCTTTCTTGGCAAAGATACTGGAGTGTTTGCCATTTCCTTCTCTAGCCCATTTTACAGAAGAAGAAACTGAGACAAACAGGGTTAAGTGATTTGCCCAGAATCACACATCCAGTAAGTGTCTGAGGCCATATTTGAACTCAGAAAGATGAGTTTTCCTGACTCCAGGCTCAGCATTCTATCCACTGCGCCACTTTTTACAAAGGAAATACTTTGTATTTACTTTTTATATATTTTGTGTTGACTTAGTTGCCTAAGGTGTCCTTTGCTCTAGTAGAATATAAGATCACTGAGGACAGGGGCTGTTTTGTCTTGTCTTTGTGTTCTCAACTCCTAGCACAATGCCAGACACACATTAAGTGATTAATGAATGCCTGTTGAATCACTTGAATGAACTGTGAGTAATATTTACAGGCACAGCTACTCATGAAGCCCTCTGCTCAGCCACAGAGAGGTGCACCCATCTGGATGAAACCACAAATCCTCGAAGTAATAATTGCCCTAGCTCTCTTCTCGGGTTGTTGTGAGGAAAGATCTTTGCTCAAATCTATAGCATTTAAAAGTGAACAGTTGTTGTGACTATAATGTAGGCTCCAAGGGGCTGGGGGTGGGAAGTGGATTGGGGGGAACTTGTAGGTGTTAGAGTTTATTCTTAGATATTAACTAAGCTGAGAACACCATAAAATATCCTTATCCCTCTCTCACCCATCCAGGGAAAAGAAGTGTCAGTGATTGGATAAGATCTGAGAGTCAGAGAGGAAGGTGAAAGGAGTGGATTCAGGAAACTTTGACATGAACGGTGGAAAAACTCAGTTCCCTTTCCTCACTCCTTCCACTAGGTGCCCTTTGGGGATTTCACTGAGCACAGAAGCTGTTCTCAGGGAGTGCTGGGGCTTTCTAGGTTGCCTTTGTTTATAGTTCCTTTAAAACCACCCCTTAATTCATGAATTGCTGGGAAGGTGATTCTGTCTTTTAAAAACCCAAAGGAAGCCTTTAAACCAAATCAGAAACCATTGTGACTCATAATGAGCCTTCCTCTGTTAAAAAAAAAAAAGGTCAGAATGACTTTCCAGGAAGTTTGGTTACTTTAATTAGCTACCTCTTTTCTCAGTCCTCAAAAACATGTGGTTAATTGGATGATCACCTCATTTTAGTGCAGGTCTGCCCTGGAGAGAAAAATCCGGGTTCTGGAGGACCCTATCAAGTTTATTGTCATTGACTCCTTGGTTTCCTGGACAACACAGATGATTCACCCTCCTAACAGGAAAGGAGAATGAATCTCAGAATCACAGAATTTTGAGAGTTGGAAGGGACCTCTAAGGCCATCTAGTTTAACTCCTTAGAGTACTATAATAGAATGCTGACCCCTTTAAGGAGGACAGGAGTGAATAAAGAAGAGAAGGGTTCTGTAGCTAATAGTAAAGGAGCTCTGCTTAGCTTCTGAAATTTCACACCTAGGTCCCTAATGGCCCACTCATTGCAGGTTACACATAACATCTACCGATGCAATTGCATCAAAGAGTGGGACCTTTCCCCTTTCTTCCTTAGCTAAACTCCCACTGATTCTAAAGCCTTGTTTGGGTTCTCTTCCTCAAGCAGGAGCCAGAGTAGATACTTTCTCTGAATAAAGGATGGTTCTGGAAAGGGGAGGAGGGCAGCCAGATGATCCAAGACTCTTCTCTCCTACAAAACAGGTCCCCACCTTGCCCAAGTACAGAAGGCTAAGTCAAAAAGACTGCAAGTGTCTATTCCTCAATCCTCCTCACCTTCCCCTACTCCACTAAAAAAAAAAAAGAATTAGAACATGAGGTCATTTCAGCATTTGGATGGGGAGTGGGAAAGTTCACTTTTCTTCTAGGTGCATCTGACCCCTGATCCTGAGAGATGAGCTATCAGAATGAAACTTTATGCTCAGAAAAAAGGGGAGGGGTTTAACCCCTGGAGAAAATGAGAAAAGATCTTAGGCCTCGGGACACCCAGGGGATTTAGGAAACCTTTTCGGCTTCTTATTTCTCTGGGCCCTAATGATCCAGATGAAAGACTAATTGTAGTGTCTTTGAGATGCTCTAATGGTCCCATTACTTTACACCTACCATTTCAATCCGTTTTAATAAACATTTATTAAGCACTTACCACCTACAAGGCACTGTGCTAGGCTCTGGGAAGCAAAGACAAAAAAGAAAAAAAAAGCCAGTCTTCACCTCACTCTTAAGGAGTTTATATTCTACTTTCTTTAAACTTAAAAAAAAATTCTGTAGGAGTTTTGCAAATAAAATTTCTACCAGGAGAAAAAAAGCTATCAAGCTAGGAAAATTTATTCTCATTTCATAGGAACCTTTTGGCTGTCTTGATTTGGTTTAACACTATCACTGCTGAGCTGACTCTCTAATGACCTGTGGTCACCCTGAACACATTGGCTCACTGGAGAAACAAACACTCAAATGACAGTCTCTCTTTTGAGTTCCCCTTGAGTTGGACCATCAAACCATGCCTCTTCTGCTAAATTTGGATTTCCTTCTTTGCCTAATTGCAGGCAACCTGGTGGTAGTGATGTCCACTAAGTGCAAACCTCATCTTTCACCTGTTTTCCCCAGGTTCTGGCCTCTTCCTAAGATTAACAAGCATTCCCTAAATCCCAAGTGACTGCCTTCTTATTCAGACCAGTAAAGAATCACTGAGACACGTTAGTGTTCTAACTCAGATTTCTCTCTCTTTTTTTCTAGTAGGCTCCATTTACCAGGCTGTACCAGGTCTGTCTGACTGGGGGGAAAGAGCAAACAAGAGAAGAGGATACAATCCATACATTGTATGTTTTCTGCAACTTCCCAGCTACTCTGTTCTTCCCCAGGCCTCATTGTCCCTTGTCCTCCACCCAGGCTGCTTAGGAATGATGGTACAGGAGACCGAGGATCCCCTTACCTGTCTCCACCTGGCTAAGGGCATTTGGAGTGTCCGTGGAATCTGCCACATCCCCATTCATCTTGATATCTGCAAAGAAAACACAGCTGATTTTAATGACAGGTCACAACTTGTCACGCAATGACATGTGTGGCTTTAACTAAACAGCAAAAATGAATGTGTAATTACAACAACCATCAGACTTTCAAATGCCCTATTCCTGCATATACAACCATTAGAATATTCATAAGCTTGGGGTACAGCTCCCCTCCACAGTGGGTGAGCTGTGTTCTCTCCTCCTCTCTGTCTCTCTTTTTTCTTTTCCCCTTTCTGCAGAGCCACTTTTGGGTCTCTCACCTTTTGTAACATTCATTTTCTGTAACTCTTCATCACCAGGGCTCAGTTGATAAATATTTTAAAAGGAGAGAGGGGTACAGAAGGGGAAAGATGCCCTTTTCCTTCACAATCTGATTCATCCTATCCTCTTCTGGGATTGGGGTCTAGGGATTGATTTTGTTTCTTGAAAAAGGGGTAGAAAACACTTCTAGGCTTTCGAACCCCAGCCACACAACCCCAGGCTGGAAAGTGAGCGTCTTATAGCCTAAACCCAAGTGCCCCATCATCTCACCTCTCTGCCCATTCCAATTCCTCCCTTGTCAGAGGAGGGTGGCTAACATGCTAGGGACTAACCTCCCAGTTCCCACCTTGGCCCTCCCCCAGGAGACTTCTGTCCCTTAGGAGCATTCTGCTCTCTCATTGTCCTGCTCCTTCATTGTCCGTATGTGTGTGTGTGTGTGAGGTGTGGGGCCCCCAACCCCATCTGAATGCCCATAGAACAGCCATTAAAAGCTTTGCCAGGTCTCTCTCTCTCTCTCTCTCTCTCTCTCTCTCTCTCTCTCTCTCTCTCTCTCTCTCTCTCTCTCTCTCTCTCTCTCTCTCTCTCTCTCTCTCTCTCTCCAATAAATTAAACATTTACCCATAACTGACAGCTACCACCACCTATGAGACCCGAAGTCTCCTCCAAGGATCAGCAGAGTGATGGGGAGAAACAACTTTGAACTAACTCACTGTGTCTCCTGGCTCCTCTCCTTATTAAACCATCCAAATATTGAATCAGTTAAAGACAGAAGAATATTTTATTCAAATTATGCTGACCCCCCCCCTTGCCCCCACCCTTTTCTCAGGGGCAGCATTTTAACTCTTTCCAACCAGGTAAGCTGTGGGTGAGCTGATCTGCATGTACCAGGCAACCAATCCTAGTTGAGCAGACAGGCCTTATTTGCATCTTGTAATCAGGCAGTTAGCAGTCTGAATGTCTGTGATCTGGAGAGTGCTGGGACAGAGGGAGCAGAATGGGACAAAGGCATCAGAAAGAACTTGGAGAAAATGTAGCCCAGCTTGCTTCATGGGGCAAAGGCAGTGCCTTAGCCAAGTCAGCCACTGGAATGCACCATCTCTGGTGTGCATGAGGTGGGGTGAGTGTAAACATTGACCAGCTACCAGGGTTAAGAGGGATCCCTGGAGAACCAAACCTTTCAAGGAATTCCCAGGCAGGAAATGAAGTGGCTAAGTGGGGTAAGGGACCCTTAAATGTCATAGTAGTGTCTTGAGAGCTTTTAGAGGAAATGAATCATAGAAACCCAGGCAAGGATTTTTATAATGCTGTCACCCTAATTCTGAGCAAGACCACAACAAAATTCTCTCCTGACACAGAGGAGAACAAGGCAGAGAAGATTACAATTTAAGAAGCAGCATGGAATAGTGGACAGGGCTCTTATAGCTGTGAGACCTAGCTCTAAAAATGAGCAGACTCAGGCAAGTCAGTCACTTGACCTCTCTGTGCCTGAGTTTCTTCAACTGTAAAATAGGTATTAGTAATGTTCATACTCTTTGCCTCACAGGGTTATTTTGAGGAAAGTACTTTGTAGCATTATTATGAATTCTCCCACTCCTTTTAAAAGGGGTTAAAGTTTTGTATTCAGAAAGTTCTTGCTATTCTAAGTGAACATGAAGAACAGGCGATCTTATATCTCTTCTTACTGCTCCTTTCTTTCAGCATGGGGCCAAGAGCTCCTCAGACAATGAAATTAGCTGTATTTTTTTCAGCCCTTGACCTGAACTTGAAGTTTTGATGTATTCCCCAACCCCCACCCCTTTAGCTGATGCTTCCCTATCTAAAACCCCAAGCAGCAGAGATGAAGGAATGGGGGGGGTGTCTTTTTCCATGGGGAAATTTTAACCTGTGGTCTCTTCAGCCCTGATGATTACCCTCTCTGCCTTCTTATGTTTACCCAGTGCCTTAGGTTCTTGTTGGCTGCATCATAATTTTCTTTAAAGGAAACCAGGATGTCCTCGAACAGAGACTTTTAAGTGAAAAGCAATGTGAATTATTCCTTTTCATAAATTTATTTCAAACTCCTAGCTTAAGAAGGGTATGATGTAATCTTGTGCCTGTTATTATATACCCTTGCTAGGCACTTTTCTCACCTTCTATTCAACTTGGAGTGAAGAGATTTGTATTCAAATCTGCATGATGAAATACTAGTGTGCTCTAAGAAATGATGAGCAGGTTGATTTTAGAAAAAGAACATGGAAAGACTTGCATGAAATAACCAAGAATGAAATAAGCAGAACCATGAGAATGTTGTATACAGTAACAGCAATATTGTTCGAAGAATAATTGTGAACAACTAAGTTATTCTGAGTATTATAAATACTCAAATCAACTACAAAGGACCTATGAAGGAAGATGCTATCCACCTCCAGAGAAAGAAAGAACTGATACACAAAGTATGCATAGTATAGTTTTACATATATATACATATACGTACATATATAAATGTATATCTATCTATCTATCTATCTATCTATCTATCTATCTATCTATCTATCTAATCTATGTCAAATAGTAGCCTAGAGAAGGCTCTAGGCTTCTCTAGAAGCACTAGGTTGAATGCAGGGGAGGGAGGGAGGAAGGGAAGGGAAGAGAAGAGACAGTTTGGAATTTTAAACGTAACAAAAAATTAAATTGAATTTTAAAAAATAACAAATCCTGGTTCTGATACTTCACAAGCTAGGTGATTTTGAAAAAGCCTCTCTGAGGCTCAGTGTCATCAAGTACATAATTGGGAAGAATCATACATGTCATGCCATCATTGAGAGGGACCTTTGAGATCTGGTCCAACTATTTCATTTTATAGATGAGGGAATTGAGAGATAGAATGGTTTACTCCAGGTCACATAACATAAGAATCATGATCAGAATCTAGGTCTCCTGATTCCAAGTCCATTCATTCCCACTATGCCACATTGTCTTCTAAGAAAGTACTACCTACCTCCTAAGAATGTATTTTGTGAACCTTAAAGCATTATAGAAACATGGCTACTTTTGTTTTCTTTTCTTTTCTTTTCTTTTCTTTTCTTTTCTTTTCTTTTCTTTTCTTTTCTTTTCTTTTCTTTTCTTTTCTTTTTTTCTTTTCTTTTCACACATCCTCTATATCATCAAGAAACTAGGATTAGCAATAGCATCACATTCATTCTTTGGATTGACTTGATATTTAGTCCTAGCTTAGCTATGGCTAAGAACATCTTTTGATGTGGTATCAGACACACTTAACCATAACAAGGAAATGGGATTTTATAGACATAGGATCAATGATAGGTGTGAAATAACTGTAGAGCCAGCCCCTACTGGGGAAAGGCCCAAGGTTAGTTAACAAAACAACTCCTATAGTTTCAATCCGTGAAGGAGCCAATGTTATAATTCTTAACCCTTTACATGCAGGACAGAATTTGCCAGGCATGAATTTAAGAAGAGTTCAGACACCCTATTCCTCTTTTCTTATCCCAGTCATCTATTGAGTGAGTGTCTCCAATTACTCCTTTCCTTAGTCATGGGGGAGAGAGTGGAGTTAGCTTCTTGACACAACAGATCTTCTGGAATGCTAAACATAAAGCCCCTAGCTACCATTTTAGCCATCCTGGGGACGTATTGGATAGTCACATATGAACTGTCCTGAGAGCAGATATTCTCATTAGCTTCATACAAAGCCCTCAAGAAGAGTTCTCTCTTCTTACATGTCTGTGAGCATACATATGCATGCTCTCACCAACACATAAACCTAGTGAGCCCCTGCCCCATTCCCTATCTCCTTAGTATTCTATGGAGAGTTCATTTTTCAGTCTTTCCCTAAGGGGCAGGTGCTACCTGAGATCTGAACTGCTCCTCCTTCTGTAGACTATATAGCCTTGTGTCTCCAAGATGCCTCGTCAAGCCCCTTTGGTTTCAGAGACAACTGGAAGCAGTGAAAAGACCAGTGGACCAGGGAGCCTGATTTCAAATCCAAGATCTGCCTCATATAACAGTGTGACCACAGGTAAGTCATTAACAAAGCCTCCATCTCCTTAACTGAAAAATGAGGTATCCGGAGAGAAGGGAAGATGGTGTAGTACAGGCAGCAGCCCAGCTGAATTCTCCCAACATTTCTCTACAAAAAACTCTAAAATAGTGCCTCAAATCAAATTTTGGAGTGGCAGAGCCAACAAAAAGTCAATAGAAAGAATCCAACAATATGTTGTCTATAGGAGACACACTTGAAATGGAAAGACACACAGAGTTAAAATAAAGGGTTGGAGCAGAATCGATTATGCTTCAGTTGAGGTAAAAGAGGCAGAGATAGTAACCATGATCTCAGGCAAAGCAAAAGGAAAAACAAACCTAATTAAAAGAGACAATTAGGGAGGCTACATTTTGCTAAAATGTACTGTAGACAATAAAGTAATATCAAAAAAATTTATAGCAAGTTTTTTTTTGATAAAGGCCTCATTTCTCAAACATGTAGGGAATTGAGTCAAATTTATAAACTAGTCCAATCATTCTGGAAAACAATTTGGAGCAATGTTGAAAAGCTATAAAACTGTGTATGTCCTTTGACCCAGCAATACCACTACTTGGTATGTACCCCAAAGAGATCAAAGAAAAAGAAAGAGGACTTATATGTACAAAAAATATTTATAGTAGCTCTTTTTGTAGTGGTAAAGAATTAGAAATTGAGTGGATGCTTATCAACTGGGGAATGGCTGAAA